AAAAAAAACGCGATTATATTAAAAAAAGTTGTGATTACGATTTTTAAGCTTAGTGCTCAACATAATCCCTCTTGAATCATCCCTATCACCCCCCAATAAATCATACAACGGCGCAGTCCATTTTAAACCAATGGGAGCACAGGTAGAAATGATTGACAGGTCAAATGACGTCACTTACGTGACGTGATTCACGTCACGATGAGGAAAACCATTTTGCACTGGACAGTACATGATGTGATTATTGCATTACTTTAATTATATAAGTGACATATCCAAAAATAATTAGTAACAGTCTGATGTGGATATTAATTACAAATACATAAAAGTAAAAATAATAAATAGTAACACATACCAACATTAATAATATTAAGTTACAAAAGATACATTGTTTCTGATACAATATGTAATATAAATATAGAAATTTGAAAACTAACATCATTAATGGTTACATATAATAATAAACTATATGAAAATAATTGCAAAAAAAATAAATATTACATTATTCTTTATTTATTGCCTTAAAAGCGTATTTTTGGTTGCTCCTAGCTGCTTCTAAAAATTTATTTTTATTATTTTTCATAAAAATTATTACATTCAATTTTTATTTTACTGCAAATTAGTAGTTCAGCTTTAACATTTTCCAGTGTTAATCTGTTTCTTTTGTCTCACCATAGGTTATTCATTGAAGAGAGACATCTTTCAATGCACACATTAGAAGTTGAAATGCTAAACATAAATTCAATTCTCTGAACGTTTGGAAAATTTTTTTTTTTTAATATAATTGCTCATAACAGTGAATTATTTTTTTCTGCTTTTAACTTGTATTTCAAATTTCCTATTCTTTTCTGTATTGTGCAAAGTTCATTAAAAACATCCGAAAACCAGACAAATTAATAATTAATCTGGACCATGAATTTAAAAACCGGCTTGTTCGGCCTGGTGGCAACACTAGTTATAAACATTAAAAATTTTTATTATTATTTACATACTAGATATGCATTATCTCTGATGTGAGAAGATATAAATTAGAACAACTCATATCAATACAATAGTCTACATTAATATTTGTTTTACACATTTAGAAATTTTTTTTACACATTTTGATAACAACAAACATTTAGAAATGATATAAATTTTATGTAACAAACTATATACTTCATAATTAAATTTAAAAAAAATCTGTTTATATAGAAGATCTATCCAAAATAAAGACCTTCAAATAAATAGATTATTATTATTATATTATCTATAAATGAAAGTAATAAAAGTTAACAGCCACTGAGCCAAATAGTCAGATAATAATTTCACTAATATTCATAAACCATACTTTACAAGTAGGACAAAGTTTTTAATTTAGATAATAGCAAATGTTTTTTGGCCTCTTTCAGAGGCTTTCATCAGTCTTACATAGAATAAACCAACATATAAGTCAAGAATTATAATTTTAGAATGTTTTCAAGGTTGTTGTTCTATGTCATTGCTTTTAAATGATTACTTTTAATAATTTTGCAAAATCTTTTAGTTTTTAAGAAATAAAAACTTTANAAATAATTAGGATCAATATTAACAATATTTTCAGTTAAACGCTTTAATCTGTTTATTCTGCAATGTAACTATTATTCTAGTTTTATTGTTATTTTGCTTGTAAGACACATTTCATAATTATTAATGCTTTTTGGTCTATGGACAAGTCTCACTTGTTCAGTTTTACATGTTATACTATAGAGCTAAGTGGCATTAGATTTGGATATGGTTGACATAAGAAGTATGTTATCAGTGGAAATGGTAATTTTTTTTCACTGATAAGTGGCATGCATTTGTTAATATTTTGATGTTTTGTAAAATGGCTGTGTGCAGAAAGCTATCAGTCAACAAAGCTTTACATTAAATAAATGATCAGAAATACATAGTTCTGATGCCAAAACCAAAAAAAGTGAATCTTGTTTAAGCTCCATCAATGTAAACACCATACTGTTATATCAGAGTTTTTTAAATTAAAAAAGGACATTTTATTCTAATTTTTAAAACATTTTTTTAATAATTATTTTGTTAATTGTTTCACATTAACAAAAGTACAAAGAAACAAATCCCAAAATATCATGACAAATATTATTTGTTTTTTTTATTTTTATAAAATAGCCAAAAAAATCCCAGTCTGCATGGTATTTACAAAAGCTTATTCTCCAGTCCAGAAAGTGTTACATAAATTCTTTTTAAATAAGTGATAATTATTACCAATAAACTTTTAAAAGGTTATTTGGTGATTATTTAAAATAATAAAAACTCAATTTTTAATGTATGAACTAAAATTGAAGAACCTTACATTTTAAATATAGTCTTAGTGCAATTGCTAACTGATAAAATTAGATAATTATTGTGTAGGTAAAAAGAGTTATTGATATTAAGCACTATAAATGTATAATTAGAATTCAACATTGAGTCAGAATTTTATATTATTTAATCCTTAATTAATTTTCAATATATTTTATACATACATAAATATATATTGAAAAACAAGAGTGAACCATGTTTTGATGTTTTATATGCATGCAGTTATGGAAACTAGTTCTCTTATTTACTACTCACACTGTTTGGTCTGAGGAAATTTCTAATAGATTTATCTATTATGTAGATTAAAAAATTGAATTGAAATATCAGGAAATATTTCAAACTAAATTAAAATTTTTACTAAGTTACTAAAACTTGTCTGTCAACTTGCTCTCATCTTAATGACAAATTGACAGCAGTCTGAGAAAATTGAAAAGCAGACCAATATTTACAAACTAAAACTTGCATTTTAATGTACTTTCATTGTGTTTTAAGCTTGTAAAGCATTAATAAATGGATTTTTTATACAGTCAAACCTTGGTTTACGAACTTAATTCGTTCCTAAAAAGTTGTTCTCAAAGTGAAACAAATTTTTTCATAAACAATATAAAATGGATTAATCTGTTTCCGGCCACCAAAACAAAGCCTTAAAAAGTAAGGCTTATCTTTTTAGTTGTATTTCATGCATAAAAATGTCTACACATGCAATATAATACTATATTATCTATATATATTAAAAACAAAATGTTTCATCAACAAAAACCAAAACTGAAACTAACACTTTACAAAGAAGTGCTATAAATGGAGACTCCATTCTGCCTGAATGAAATATAAACAAATCGATCAAGACAGACAACAAGTACTTTATCCACACTTTTGGAAATATTAGGATTCAATTGATTTTGATTTCAATTTTACTTTTAATTTTAGTTTCAGTTTCATTGTAGAGGCTAGAGTTTTAATTATTATTTTANTTGATTCTTAATAAAACAGGCTGGGCGCCCATGAAACTTTCCCTTTTCATCCCCTTTCCTATCTCGCTTTACTCTTTCCCCTTTGCCTCTTCCCTTAACTACCTTTCCTCTACTCTTCTTCACACTCGGGCAATACCAATGAGTAGTCCCGAGTCTTCATTCCCTTTATGAAAATGAAAATGAAAATCAGCACAGTTTGAGGATTCAGGAAATTGTCCTTACAAAATTTTACAATTTTTAAGTGCCACTCCATTATTCAATATCTTTTTTATTCAAGTAAGCATACATGTCATCTCAAATTTGCCTATGGATTTTGCAATATTCAAATTTTCAGTTTGTTTTCTGCTTTTCATCAGGCTTTCTTTAATAAAAGCTGATAGTACAGGTTTTTTCTTCCTTGTCCTAGCTTTCTTATCAACCAGGTATTGTTGACATTGCTTTCAGACATTAGCATTTAAGACTGTCACAGTATTTTGATTTTATAAATTAATCTTTGTATTTAGTAAAATAAACATTTTTAGATAAGTGTTGTTAAACTTTTATTTAACCATACGTAAGTAATCATTTGTAAAAATGAGGAATGAAATAGTGATATCTTGGTACTCAAACTGTTCCCAACTCAAATAATTTGGTATTTGAACACAATTTCTGGAGAAAAATTGATCGGTACTCGACTGAACAAATGAGGACCCCTAGAACAAATTTTTGATTAATAACATATTTTTATTTTGTCATCCATAAAAGTTTTTTATGATAAAAATAAGAAAATGAAGATGCTGTTATCTCTAAGTTCAAGAAAAAAAGCTCAGATGATGATGATACTTTGTAAAAAGAAAACACCATTGTTTAACTAAAATTAATATTAATGCATAATACAATACTTTTAATTGTGATTATTAGTTGATTATTGNTGCTGTTATCTCTAAGTTCAAGAAAAAAAGCTCAGATGATGATGATACTTTGTAAAAAGAAAACACCATTGTTTAACTAAAATTAATATTAATGCATAATACAATACTTTTAATTGTGATTATTAGTTGATTATTGATTGCTTTAATATATATATTTCTCTTAGAAAAAGTATATTATTCTTTTCCATATCTAACTTTTAGAACCTA